TATGCTGTGCAAGATGGCGGCGTTCCAAGCAGCACAGCCCCGATATGCAGCTATCATAATGGGAACATTTATATAAAGTGTAGCCGCCACTAGGGCTTGGTTATCTCTCTGTTTGACGTCTTCCGACGAATGAATGTGGAGGATTATTTTTTAATTGAATGGACAACATGGCGCCAAACAAGTGATCACTTGTAGAGCCTGGACAGCAAGACGGAGCTGCAACATACAGATGAATGCAAGAGCCATGAACTGCAGAAAAGTCAAAGATTAACAAGATGTTTGGGGTGAGCTGTACAGGAAAGCAGACCCAAGAAGATCTGTGGGGGCCTGGAGGTATAGCTGAAGCACCTTTATTGACAGCACTGGGGAGAGGTGTGGTTAGCATGACGTCCCGGCCACCTTTCCTTCTTGGAAATACTCCCCGAAGACTGGGTCTTCCCCAGAACCTGTCTGGACACCGTATGAGCGTATTTATTGGGGGGGGGGAGCATGTATTTTTCGACGATAACAGTTGCTATGACCGCCTCTGCTGTCTAGTGGTTAGAGTTCCTGGCTACAGATCCAGAGATCCAGGGCTCGATTCCCGGCGTTACCAGATTTTCTGAGAAGTAGTGGGTCTGGAACGGGGTCCACTCAGCCTCGTCAGGATAACTGAGGGGCTATTTCAATGAAATAGCGGCTCCCGTGTAGAAAACCGAAATTAACGGACGTCGGGAATCGTTGCGCTGACCACGCAACACCTTCTATCCGCTAAAGTTGGCACTAACTTCGCCGACACGCGGCGGTCGCTCGGTCGGTATAGTTAGTTTGCGGACTAAAACCACGGAGTTTATCAGTTGCCAGACTACGTAGCGTTGAACCACAGAATGACAAGACATAATCTATCGTCCTGTTTTTAATGCAAAATAACTTTTCGGACTCTGTCACAGTCCTCGGGCAAAAATCCATAATCAACAAAATATAAAGGTAACCCGTACAGCGAAACATTTCGCGGCAATGATGAAATCGTTCTGACGTACATACGTCATGTGAGAGTAGCTCTAAAACGGGTCACGGTACAGCAAAGTGTGTTCCGCCTCCGACACCACTGTGTGCTAACCAGACTGTACAGTTAAAATAAACAAGAATCCATATCGGTTATCACTGCAGAAGGGGCGTAATGTAACCTGGTAACAAAAAAGGGGGGGGGTGAAGACAATATTGTAGAGAAAAAATGCGAGGAAGTGGGGCATTATAATTCAGTTCGAGCCTGTCAGTTTCGAGGGGATGCTAGTTCTTCACTTCTTCTTGAAGGAATCCTGGGCTCAGGTCGGCCTGAGGACACAGGACCAATTACGAGGACGATGATGGAGTTCCGGGCAGACAGACAGAACTCTTAGAACTTTCGTGAAATGGCGTTATGAAAGGAGCAGAGAATCATGCCCTCTTTGAGGGGAACGGCACACAAAACTTGAAATTTCAGCGAAATATACACATAAAATATGCAGTATCAAATGGACTCAGTGTCACCCCATGAGAAAATCCGGAAAAAAAAAAATGTTTCCCAAAAAGGCCAATTTACCCAACTTGGTTCAGTGACATATAACAACGGTTGGTATCACTGGATTTGAAGCTTAGAATGGGTGGATACGCTCTGGTATCACTAACAATAGCAAGAAACTGCAATTCGGTATAGGATGCCTGCTTGAATTGCGATGTTAATATATCTGTACGCGTACATTTAAAAACAGCCCTGTTTTTGGCTTACCGTAAAACAGCTTCAAAACAAAAATATGTCACTCAAAGCGCTGTTGTGTCCACGCAGTTTCTGTCTTTCAACATGCCCTGTATGGTCCAGGGAAACACAGCTGCGACCACTAAGACACCAGTAACGCTGCCAGGGAGACCGCCCTATTCGCCGGCTGGTCCGATTCACTCTAACTTACTCTATTTATAAATACTGAAATACCGGTATTTATAAAATATGGTTATATTAGAATTACGTTTCGTAGCCTTCCTGGATCTCTTCTGGTATTGAAATTGAAGCCAACGTTTAAAAATTTGGGGAGGGGGCATTTCCCATTGTTCCACCCTAATAGGTTCTAACCGTTATGTCTAAAAGGTGAAGCTATCGCTGTAACCGACCGTGAAAGCCCATAAGGATGTGAGAGGTCGAGGTTCCCTCATTTTCCTAACAATCGGCTTACAGATGGCGGTGAGGGTGTCAGCCTTACGTGTGGGCTGCCCTTTACCCTCCAGAAAAATTCCTAGTACTCATTTCTGTTAGAGGCTGAGTCGACCCCAGGGCCATAGTGCAGCTGGAAGGGTTATGTCAACTGAAAAAAAATCCAATGACCTCATCGGGATTTGATCCCGTGATCTTTTGGCTTGTGCCTCAACTGTGCTACCGCGTGTCCCAACCATTATGCCTAGAAATCTTTAATTCGTATAATCACATATGTTTCTATTTGGGAACAACGATAAGAGATCGAAACCTGATTCAGGAGGAAATTAAGAGGCGACTGAACTCGGGGAATGCTTCCTACCATTCAGTTCAGAACCTCTTGTCTTCTCGTCTGTTGTCCAAAAACATAAAAATGAGAATATACGAGTACAAAACTATAATTTTGCCTATGGTTCTGTATGGGTGTGAAAATTGGACTCTGATATAGACTGAAGGTGTTTGAGAACAGGGTGTTGAGGAGAATATTTGGACAGAAGAGAGATGAAGTGACAGGAGGTTCGAGAAAACTGCATAATGAGGAACTTCATAACTTGTACTCTTCTCCGAGTGTAATTAGAATGATCAAGTCAAGGAGGATGAGGTGGGTAGGGCATGTAGCACGAATGGGGGAGACGAGGAATGCGTATAGGATATTGTTGGGAAAGCCAGAAGTAAAGAGACCACAGGGAAGACCAAGGCGTAGGTGGGTGGACAATATCAGAATGGATCTTAGAGAGATAGAATGGGATGCTATGGATTGGATAGATCTGGCTCAGAATAGGAACCAGTGGAGGGCTCTTGTGAACACGGTAATGAACCTTCGGGTTCGATAAAATGCTGGGAATTTCTTGAGTAAATGTAGAATTGGTGGCTCCTCCAGAAGGGCTCAGCTCCATGAGTAAGTAAGTAAGTAAGTACGTAAGTAGTCACATATGTTTCGTGTAACCCATTATTTTTTATCTTCACTTCGCTTGCGTTCTGCTCTGAAGAAGTGCATTTCTGCTGCTTCTGATGTTTTAATCTGTTGTATAGTTTGAAGTTTACGATTCATAAGCACAAAATATAACTGTTATCACCCCTGAATTACGTGTATACTATTTAATTAAACAAAAAGACAGCTTTAATTTTCTCAATGCATTAAACAGAGATCAGTCTCTTAACGAAATCATGTTGTCACGATTGCTTATAGATCGCCTCGACAATTACAAACGTCGTGAATGAACGTTAAAATATTCTGAACAGCTCACTTGCAACTCACGAATGTCTACTAACCGCCCTCGCCAGCACAGCGATCCTTGGTTCCGTGTCCCGCGGGACTCATAACCATATTGTACTGTCTCACATCTCTGAGAGTCGTTCAAATCTACTCATCTAACTTACTTCTTCCGTTAGTCCTAACCTCGGAGCGGACCACGTAGAAAATATGGCTTCAAACAGTTCTTCTATTGTTGCGTGTTGGTTCGTAATGTTTACTGAGCCGTTGCCAAGCAACAGCCGCCTCCGGCTTTTAGGCGTCTTGTTGCAATATATATATCATCATTCATAGAATCTTCCCACTGACGCTGATATTGCGCAACCTGAAAGTGTGCGAATTCTAATTGGAGCAGAACTAGTCTTCCTTTCGATGATGGAAATATTCCTACACTCGAGGAAACTGAACTCGGCTGGGTCACAGCAGGGCGTATCCACCATCCAGGACAGAACTTTACACAAGATTTTACGATCTGTGTCACACTGAAAAATGTAAAACTGGACGAACAGTTAAGAATATGAAGAATGCCGTCTTCTGGGATGTGGCGCCGTGTAGATCTTGTGTGGATCGACGTTTCGGAGGAACGTATCGCCTCACATCGGTTCACACAAGATCTACAAGGTGCCACATTCAGGAAGACGGCATTCTTCATAGTCACCGCCGTGAAAACCTCAAATNGGGGGTTTTTTTTCGCTCGTCACTCAGTTTTTGAACACGACAGTTCAGCTTTGTGTGTGATGTAAATGCGAAGAGAGCCGATGGGAAACCATTAAATCACAAATTACTAGCTGGACCTAACATACAGCGGTACATATTGTGACAGTTGTCCTCAGATTTCGAAAACACTAAACTGACCTTTGCAGCCGACGTTGCAAAAATGTATCGTCAGATTTGGTTTCATCTTAACGACATAGGATTACAGAGAGTTTCACATTAATTTTCCAGAACATGTATGTGTATGCTACTATGCGTAATAAAGAAATTCAGATTTAATTCAACATTATTTACTATGTGGTCTTCCAGGGCCACTTTAATAGCAACTCATGGCAGAATGCATATGGGAAAAGGGCAAATGAAGGTCTTTCGTTTATAGTCATTGGTGAAGTTTGAAAAAATAGGCGGATCAGTGGAGATTTCACGAAAACAGGCCAAAATAACATTGAAAATTTAAGATAAATCCACAGTGAGACCGTTACGTATTTGTCAGATTTCGCAAGAACGCTCCCTTTTTCAATCCCCCTATTGGAAAAGGTAGCAGATTCCAACTTGTAACATCATTTTAATATCACAATTTATCATTGCAGCCTCCATATGTAAGAAGTAGTGCAGTATACACTCCTTCTTGTTTATAACAGTTCTGAGAGGGAATATGATTTTGCAACTTCTGCGTGACTAATATTCGCCATGAATAAGGTGTCAGGAGAACAAACATTTACATCTTCGCCCTTCTGGGTGCAGCATCAGGAGTGCCAATTGCCCTTATGTTTATGACAGAAGCAAACTAAATCAGACTATTCTGTTAATAGGGAAATTATATGTACTTACCACCGGCTTCTTCTCCTTGATTCGCCAAAACATTCCACGAATGTTTCTGTGTAATTTCACCACCTGTAAAGGAATAAAACTTAAGAAGTAACAGGTGCTGTTTCAGTGCGTCCTAACGCTATCCGCGGGTCCTCCGGTGTGAGAGATTGGCTCATCTAACTTTTTGAAAATATTCACACCACGTGGCTTCGATTTCGAAATCTAAACATCGTCCTTCTGCTAACGGTAATATGGAAGTGAAGATGCACAATGGGTAGAAGTAACGACTTCAGACAGAGGCAGCACAATTCTCATTTCTTGATTAATTGTATACTTTGAAAAGATAATTTGGTGAACTTTGCAGCAAAAGGGCTTTAGATTCTAAAGGGTTCTGACGATTGTGTATAACACATGAGGACGTAAAACAGATCCAGTTTTCGAAACGTCGTGTTTTCTATTTTTATATTGTACCGGACGATGGGAAAAATCCAAAAAGGGGTTTAGTTTTGGTAAATTTGAATCGAGAGAGCTGCTTAGGAACAGGAGAACGCAGTAGCAACTTCGAAATTGGAACCATCTCAGCGATTGCATGAAGACAGAGGAAAGCCAAGAAAACCTGTGTCGACGAGACGACCGCGCGCAGGACCCTCCGAATGCACACTGACTCCTAGCCAGCAGTCCGGCAAACAGAAGTTCATGGGAGAATATCTACTGTGACGTTGCTTTATTGATTTTATGACTTAAGAGTCACGTACAACAATATACTGGTAATTGAATCACATATTGTCACGTGTGCGGAATGACTATAGACGGGTTTTATATCGATGATCGGATTTATTGAACTCCTTGATACAGCACGTGGCTCCACTTTACAGTTAACTGTTACACACTCATTAGCGTCCACAGTCACGTTTTCACTAGCCGTTGCTTGGTAGCGGTTTCCAACATCGGACGTTCCCCTTCCTCTCGGTTCCCGAACAGTCCACAGCTTCTAACAGCAACAGCTCACAAGGACTGAAATGAGGCAGTCCTCTAACTGCTACCTTGTCCTGCATATATCATTTCGGTACGGACCGCGCAGAAAATATAGTTCCTCTGCTGTAGTGCAATTATTGCTTAGCGATGGCATGATGTATTCCACTACTGCCTGCAAAGTCATCGGAATGGACTGGGCAGTAAACACCGTTTCTCTGTCTTTGTTTACGGGCCGCTGCCTAGTAACGGCAGGTTCTTGTGACGCCATGATTCTTGCTTTGAGCGAATATGCCACAACATCAAGAACAACAGCAAATCTGTTACCGACAATTTACGTTACGTATCGAACATACAAAAATACGTATAAGAGAGAAGCGTCACCGCGCTTAGCGAATCCTACAGGGACTTAACAGAGATATGAATACAAAGTGGGAGGAGTCCCATCATCACCGGGTGTCAAAAGTGCACTTTGCTAATTATGATAATTAAAGTAAGATACTGCTTCTTCCAGACGCCGCTTCCCAACAGGGCTCCTCTCCCGAGGGAGGACAGACATAATGTTCCGCTGTGGACTCGTTGGGGGCGGAACGGATGGGGGGGGGGGGTCAGACGGCGCCCGCTGTTTATAGAACGGTGTACCCCATGTGGGCTTTTGAATTATTGGTTTCTGTTCTGCGCTCCACACATTTTTGCTCTCGCATAATAAAGGCTATGTCACGGGCAGCTTGGACTTGCTTCACCTTGGCGGTCAGTCACCGGCTTCTCACTTCGACAGTCTAGGTTCAAACCCACTTCATGTCATGTAGGATTTGTGGTGGACGCGGAGGTTTCCTCAAAGTATATTTCGGCTTCCCGTGTCATTTTTCATTCTTCTGAATGCTACATACTGATCTGTCATTCGGGGCTGACATAATGATAAATAATAATAATAATAATAAATAAATAAATAAATAAATAACAAAGAGCCTAGAATTGGATCCTATAGAGATTAAGGTGAGTTCAATATAATAACATCGTATTTCTGTAAAGGTAAAGCTGTCCCTGTAACAGGTCGTGGAGGCCCATAGGGTTGTGAGACATCGAGGCTCCCACATTTTCGATAGACAATCGGTTCACAGATGGCGGTAAGGTTGTCAGCTTTACGCGCCTGCTGCCCTTTACCCCCCAGGAAGATTCCTGGTACTCATTTTTGTTAGATGCTGAGTCGACCCCAGGGCCATAGTGCGGCTGGAAGGATTAGGTAAACTGAAAAAAAAATCCACCTCATCGGAACTCGAACCCGCGACCTTCCGACATGTAGCATAGTGCCTCAACCAACTACGCTGCCGCGTGTCCCCAAGTTAAAGTGCCCTACATTTAGCACAACAAATCGCGGTCTCATTAAGCATTACAAAGGATTTTTGCTCTGACGTCTTCTCGAAGTTTCCAATCACAGCGCAGTTGAATCAGCCACTGTCGGAGTAGCGAGACACTGTCCTTTTGCGAGGGTGTATGGAGCGTTACTGGAGGACAGTCTTGGTGATTTGAATGCCACATGATTCTCCGATGCAGCACACTTCCGTTTGGACGGTTGAACTAACAAGGAATTGTCCAATCAATGTTCTGAAAAATATTGTCTTTCGTTTTCATAAATTTCGTGATCTTCGGGGACATAATTTAGAACATACTTCAGGGTAACGAACAAATTTCCCAAACTTGTGGAATGAACTGTGAAAGTTTCATACAGCGTCTTTAAGAAAACAAAGTTTTTAAGTGTCAGACACTCTGTATTTTTCTGATTTTCTTCTCCATAAAGTCCAGAGTTCAGCATCCACTTATCTGTCCATGGCGCCAAAATATGTATTGTTATTGACATACGAACCAGAACTAGTCCCGTCTGTCTGCCCCTACCTCACATGTGGAATAAAATGTTTCCCATGTTCTGAGCAACGCCTCCAGACAATCGGAACTTCGAAGTCGTAAATCTGGATACTTGGGACGGGAAAGAAGTTATGTGTGAGGGAAATATGGTTTATTGCGCACAACTGCGGTCAACCTGTCTCCGTACTCCTCGGAAGTGGCCGGTGGGAAGACAAGAGGAATCTTTGCGCCTTCTTGCAATGTTCCCAGTCCCCGCGTTTGCGCACTTGTTTCTGCAGGGCGCTGCTACATGTGTGTAACTACGTTTGAGAGAAATTCTCACTGAAACTACATCGATCAACAACGGCCTAATTTTTAAGCACTGCTTTTGAGTGCGGTGTAGCGAAGCTTTTCGAATTATAGTAAACGTAACGGAGACCGCCTCTGTGGTCTAGTGGTCAGAGTTCCTGGCTACAGATCCAGAGAAGCGGGTTCAACTCCCGGCGCTACCAGATTTTCTGAGAAGTAGTGTGTCTGGAACGGGATCCACTCAGCCTCGTGAGGATAACTGAGGAGCTATTTCAAGGAAATAGAGGCTCGGGTCTAGAAAATCAAAATTAACGGCTCTGGGGATTGTTGCGATGACCACATGACACCCTCTATCCGCTAAAGTTGGCACTAACTTCGTCGACAAGCGGCGGTCGCTCGGTCGGTATAGTTCGCTTGTGGACTAAAGCCATGGAGTTCGTAGTTGTTTCTTTGTTTTAGTAAACGCAACGGTGAAATTGTCCCTCTGCTCTATTGATAAGCACAACAGCACGAAGACGTGTGAGGGAGTAGAGGTACGGCTCCATTCTTGACTTTGGTACTAGATGAAAGTGAGAGATCAGCTTCACACCCCGGCTACTTTATCCCCAGTACCCACTGGATAGGATGGTGGGTGGTTATTATGGTTACTAAAGGTTATTATCTTTTGAGGTCTGAAGTCGTAAAGCATGTAGAAGTTTGTGGATTAGGTAAACTGAAAAATAAATCCACCTTATCGGGACTCAAACCCGCGACCTTCAGACTTGTAATATAGTGCCTCAAACCAACTACGCTACCACGTGCTCCCTACTTATTAAGGTTTACTGAAGAACACCATCAGTAATCTTAGTCTGTGTGTGATCTGATGAACAATGATTTGGGGGTGATGTGGAAGTAATCACAGCCTAATCTGAGTCACAATCAGATACTCGAGTGAGGGCCTAAGCAACGTCAGCCATGACCGTCGATATCTCGACTGATTCGAACCTACAGTCTCCCGAAAACAAGTCACAATCATAGTCACTTTAGGGGAATGTGACAAAGCTCTTAACTTTGGTGTTGACTTCGCCTTTATAGCTTTGTACCATGTGGATGTGCGCACTATTACGGACGTTTCGGAGGTACATGCTGCCTTCATTCTCATGGTCGAACTGAATAAGATAGGCGAATGTTCGTCTATACACATTCACCCACCCTATCCACTTCTATAATGTAGATGGAGGCAGATTATATTTCCGAAACGTCGACAGTACTTCCCACATCCACACCGTACAAAAAACCATCATAAAAGGGCGAGCATCAACAATGAACCACCGCCACAGCATAAAATCAGTAAGGCTTTTAATACTGTTACGGAAAGCAACTTAGCTGTCAGATCAAAGGCTGAAAGTTGCCCCCACTTGTGGGCTCGGGTCAAGCAATTTATGAGGAGGGCAAGGGGGCGGCGGGCCCGCACTGTGACACGGGATGGCGCCTAAGGACGGACATGGAAATACTGCTGACTGATGGGAGTGAAGCTGCGTGAAATGTGACACCGACTTCTATTTTCTTCGTTGTTTTAAAAAGTATCCAGCAGATATCCTGCGAATGACCCAACTCTGGTACACACGTGGCCCACAGAAACTGTGAACGTCACATCCAGACACCATCTCCTTTCGAAAATAAACTAAATTCAGTTCCTACTTCACGCAAAACAGACCACTTCTCCATTACGATTGTCAACCGGTTAATGTTTAGGATAATCATCGCTCTCTATTCTGTGAATTATAGCAGACATACATATAAATGTCACGTGCAGGGAAAATGCGGCGTTTCTTTGTGTTAAAGCTGGTGGTATACGCAATATCCACTGTGCCTTAATGAGTGAATTTAACTCCTCTTAGATCAGTAAAGGTTCGGCCACACAGAGAGCTACGCTATGTTCGCTACGTACGCTACGTACGCTACGTACGCTGTGTACACTC